GATTTTATTCTATGGAATTTTATGAATAGAATTTCATAGATTGGTCATTTCAGAGTTACTTTCCTAGTTAGGCAGGGACAGAGAGATAAATAATAATCTGATAATAAATAATTAACATCAGTTACTTCAGATACCTTTTTGAAGATTAAACTTAGAGAACTTCATTGAAACTAACTTTGGAAGTCTGGCTTTTGTCTCCTGATTTCTTAGAAAGTCAGCTAACACTTTACATTTAATGACATGAAACATGTAGTAAGAGTAAGTCTGTTTTGATTTTTAGTGGTCTTTTGGGACCTAGTACAGGAACTTCATCAAAAGCGATGACCTCCTGTAATTTTTATTTAACTCTAGTAACTAATACATTCTGTTATTTTTACATTAGAATCCAAACCAATGCTCCATGAAACAGTAATATCTAGGAAATGTTAATAGGTATTTCTTAAAAGGGATTCTTGGTTTAGTAAATTTGACAAATAATCTATATTTTCCTCTTAAAGACTTGCAATATGTATTTACATATTAAACATACAGTATCTTGAAGCAAAGAAATTTTTTTTTCAATTTCAACATTTCCCAAATATTTGTCTACATAACATCTTCTCTCTCTCTTTTAAATAAGAAGTGTTTTCCATCAAGTCCTAGTCATTTTAGGAGAAGAAAGTTATTAGCAGGAGAAAAAGCCCCCACTTTCTACATCTTCACTGTAGAGATACTATTGAAAAAAAAATCCAGGAATTATACCAAAATATGGCACTAAAGAATGCTGATTATTTTAAATTAAAAGAACTTAATAGCAAACACTGGAAGAAGCTGTCTTCTTGTCTACTTATAGTCTAAACCCCTAAGGAAGAAAACAGCTACCTCCATATCTCTTCCCTGAGCTGCCATTAATTAAACTCACATCATAGGAAAAGAAACCAGAGATTGTTGACATACTTAGTCACATACCATCATCCTCTGTTTCATTCATTTACATGTTATGAGGTGTTCTGCATGCCAGCTACACTTTTTCCCAGTCCGTGTATTTCCCTAGAAGTCATTTATTCGTCCCTTGACATTCCCTGTCCTCCACTTCCACAAAGAGGTATATAAATTTCTAAATAGTGGGTAATAATAATTCAGATAGTTTCGAGCTGGTAGGTAACCATATTCCTGTAAATCCCCTCCTCCATGAATTGTGTGTGTGTGTGTGTGTGTTAAAAAAAAATGTATGCTTTTTCTCCTATTTAATTTTTGTCAGTTTATTCCAGTGACTCTTCAGAGAGTGGAGATTTCCCTTCACCCCTGCACATGTGTTTCTATATGCAACCAACATCAAGAATGGGACCCAGTAAATCTTGAGCAGTAGAGGCCCACCCTATAATCTAATGGAGAAATAGGGTCAACAAAAGAGAGAAAATAGATTTCTTATAGATAAGATATAAGAGTTTGGGCATGTTATTTTAAATTTTATTCCAAAAGCCCTTGTAGTTGACTGGTTTATATCAACAATTTAACCATAATAACTATTAATGTAACTACTAGTTACATATTATACTAAAAAAGGATGAGTGCTGGCTTATTTTAGTTGTGTTAAAGGTAAAATTCATATAACATTAACTATTTTAAACTGGGAAGTTCAGTGACTTTCAGTACATTCACAGTGGTGTGTTGACTACAATATATAGATCCAAGACATTGCTATTACCTCACAGTAAACACATTAAGTAGTGACTCAAATTTCTCCCTTCTTCCCACTCCCTGACAACTACCAATCTGCTTGACTTTATGGATTTATCTACTCTGGTTATGTGGTTTAAGTGGAATCATAGGTTGTCATCTTTTTTATCTTGCCTCTTTTACTTACCATAATGTTTTGAGGTGCATCCATGTTGTAGTACATTTCATTACTTCATTTCTTTTGACAGTTGAATAATATTCTGTTGAATGTATATAATACAGTTTGTTTATTTGTTCAGCTTTTCATGGACCTTTGGATTGTTTCCACCTTTGTATATGAATAGTGCTATAAACATTCATGAAGAAGTATTTGAGTTTCTGTGTCAATTTTTAAAATTTATTTTAGCTGATACATATGAATATAAATATTATACAAATTAATGGAGTAACATGTAATATTTTGGTACATGTACACATCAGATCAGGGAAAACATGTCTGTCTTCTTACTTATGATTTCTTCATGGTGAACACTTTCAAAATCCTTTCTTAAGAGATTTTTGAAATGTATAGTATATTGTTTCCTGTAGTTAATTACCCTATTATGTACTAGCATATCATAACTTCTTGCTTCTAACCTTAACTTAGTGCCTACTGATCAGCTTTTCCCCCATCTCTTCTTTCCTTCTTTACTCTCCAGCCTCTGATAATCACCACACTACCCTCAACTTTAATGAGAACAACTTTTCTAGATTCTACATACAAGTGAGATCATGTAGGACTTGTCTTTTTAATACTGGCTTATTTCACTAAGTGTAATAATTTCTGTTTCCATCCATACTGATGCAAATGACAGGCTTTCATTATTTTGTGGCTGAATATTATTTCATTGTGTTTGTGCCATATTTTCTTTATTCATTGATCAGTTGATGACACTTAGGTTGTTTTCATTTCGTGGCTGTTGTATGTTATTTACTTTTTGTGTGAGTACTCCAAGACCATGGTAATATAGATGTCCCTTTCACATAGTGATTTCATTTCTTTTGGATGTATACCTAGTAGTGAGACTGCTGGATCATGTGGGTCAGCTTTTATTTTTTAATGGAACCTCCATACTGTTTTCCATAATGGCTGTACTAATTTACATCCCCACTGAGGGTGTGTGAGTTTCCTTTTTCTTCACATCCTCATAGACACTTATCTTTAGTCATTTTAATAGTAGCCATTTTCATTAGGGTGAGGTAATATTTCATTATGATTTAAATTTACATTTTCCTGATAATTAATGATGTTGAACATTTTTTTCATATACCATGTTCTTTTGAGAAGTGTCTATTAGGTCTGTTGTGCATTTTTAAATCATGTTATTTTTATTCTTTTGTTTTTTTGCTCTTGAGTTCTTTGGAGTTCTTGTGTGTTCAGGATATAAATCTCTTGTCAGATATATAATTTGGAAATATTTTTCCAGTTCTATAGGCAGTCTCCATTCTGTTGCTTGTTTCTCTGTGCATAAGCATTTTGATTTGATTTAATCCCATTTGTCTATATTTGCTTTTGTTTTCTGTGCTTTTAAGGTCTCCTGTTTAAATTCTTTTGGGTAAATATGTAGGAGTGGAATTTCTCTATTATAGGTTATTTTTAGTTTTAATCTTTAAGGATAACCACACTCTTATCCACAGCAGCCAGATCTTTTTACGAGCACACAAGGGGTCCAGGCAACACATCTTTATGGACAGTTTGTTCTCCTTTTTTTTTTTTTTATTATAACCATTTGAGTGGATGTGAAGTGGCTCCTAATTTCCCTAATGACAAATGATGTTTTAGATCTTTTTTATGTGTTTGTTGACTCTTTGTATTTTCTTTGCGAAAATGTCTATTTAAGCCCTTGCCCCTTTTATATTTGGGTTGTCTTTTGTTCTTGAGTTATACAGATTGTTTATATAGCCCAAGTACCAGATTCTTATCAAATATGTGTTTTTCATTCATTTTCTCTCAATCTATAGGTCATCTTTTCACTTGATAATGTACTTTTTGAGGCATAATACATTCATTTTTATTTAGTCCAATTTATAAGTTTTTTTCTTTCATTCATTTCTTTCATTAAAAGCTTATGCTTTTAATGTCATATTTGAGAACTCATTGCCAATTCTATGAAGACATGAAAATTTACATCAGTGTAGTCTAAGAATTTTATGACTTTAGCTCTGATATTTGGGTTGTTGATCTTTTTTGAGTTAATTTTTGTACATGGTGTGGGGTGTTCTTTACCATGTGGATGTCCAGTTATGTCATTTTAAGAGACTGTTCTTTTTGTTATTTTTCATCTATCTCTATTGAAAAGATGCTCCAGTGAAGTGGATAATATCACTGGTTCAAGAGACAGAATGCTTTGAGTCCAAATGTGATGTCATCACTTTTACCACCTATGGGATGTTGGCAAGTTATTTAACTTTCCTAACACTCAATTTGTTATATATAAAATAATGCAAAAATCAACTCTATAACATTTTGAACATCAGATTTGTAATATGAGTGAAACACTTAATAAGATTCCTGACAATAAGAAATCAATGTTGGCAAAATTAACAGTGACATTGTGTTCCTTTTAAGATATTGCTGTTATATAACCCAAATATAGCACATCAATCCTAGGTTATATGTCAATTTTACCAAAAGTGGAAATAAAGAATCCAAATGTATTGAGGTAAGTTAAAAAGAGATTATGATTGAGTGGACACATACAGTATATCAGGGCATTTTGTGAATTATTTACTCCTTAAAACAATCCCTATTTTATTAACAAAATGAAAGTTTTAGAGTGTTAGCTAAATTTGCCAAGATATAATTAATTGTATAATAAAGTGATAGAAGTGTGATGCAAATCCACATCTGCCTCATTAAAAGGTTTCATTATGTTATGACTTACTGTAGGAAAAAAAGGCAATAAAATATGAGACATGCCTTTCTTTCTGAAATTCCTATATCACTGGAGTAGGAGAGATGGTTTGTGTGTGTGTGATATGTATCTACCATATAAAATCATGTACTAATTAAAAAAGGGAATAGTTCATTGTGATGTAATATGCACTTGTGGTTAAACCTCAGACTATCATATTTCCATTTATCTTCTGTCAATTCTTTATAATCAGTATTTATAATCCATGGTTTACTATTTCAGTAATTTTTAGTGTATTAAATTGAAGGAAAACATTTTTAACATCTAATAAAGCAAGGCTTTTTTTTTCCTATTACAATTTCTTAGTCCAGTATTTTAACGAAGTAAATTGTATAATGATAAATTCGCTTTTTTTTTTTTGTGTGTGTGTGTGTGTGCTTCTTATAGATGTAATAAAGGAACAGAATCGTGAGTTACGAGGTACACAGAGGGCTATAATCAGAGATCGAGCAGCTTTAGAGAAGCAGGAAAAACAGCTGGTAAGTATAACATTAAATTTCAGTTTAACTTTTCAAACAAATTTGGAAACTGGTGTCAGAATCATTAGCTAACCAGGAAAAAAGCACATGGCAGGTGGTAAGTGATTTACTTCGCTTAGAAATGACATTTAATGCTTTCCTGCATTTTCTGCTTACGTTCATTATGTTCTGCTTTCATCACAATTCTGTGTATTCTTCTGAATATAGAATCAGATTATTCCTCAGTTTGTGAAAATCAAAAAATGCTTCTCAAATAGAATTACCTTCTTTTTAGTTAACTGCAAAGATAAAATTGTCACAAAAAAACAAGAGAGTTATAGAAAAGTTAAATTAATTCAGAGGTGTCTTATGATATTTTAAAGATCACTGTGTTTGTGGCAGTGAATAACATTTTTTATAAATAACATATTATTGATGTTTCTAAATGTATATTGCTTCAGATGTTTTTCTGTAAAGCAGTTTTATTGAGAGTATAATTGACATGCAATAAACTGTACATATTTTAAAGGTACAGTTTGATATATTTTGGTATAAGTATTAACACCTGAAACCATTACTGCAGTTTATGTAATGAACAGAGCCATTGTCCTCAAAAGTTTTCTTATACCTTTTGAAATACCTTTTGCACATCCCTCCCTCTCTTTCCTCAGTGAGGCAAATACTGATTCGTTACTGTAGATTAATTTATTTTTCTGAAAATTTATAAAAATGGAATCCTATCTGAACTCTTATGGCTATTTTCAGCATAATCATTTTGAGGGATTAATATTGTTACATGTATCAGAATTAATTATTTGTTATTCATGAGTGTTAATCCATTATGTGGATATTTTTCAGTTTGTTTATCCATTTGTTGGCCTATGGACATTTGAGGTTTTCCTGGGTTTTAGGCTGTTTTGAATAAAGTTGCTATATACAGTCAAATGAAGTTTTGTGTAAATATTTATTTTCATGGGGGGTTTTCTAAGAATGAGTTTTTACTGGGTCATATGATAAATATATGTTTAACTATTTTGCAAAGTACCTCTAATATTTTCTCTTTCCATTAACAGTGTAGGAGAATCACAATTTTCTGGTAGGAACGCATTTCCTAATTCACAAATGATGCTCAGTATCTTTTTATGTACTTTTTGGTCATATATTTATCTTCTTTGTGAAAGCTCCTATTCAAGTACTTTATTTTACCCATGTTTTTTCATCTAGGTGTTTTCTTATTATTCGATTGTGGTAGTTCTCTATATATTATGGATATAAATGCTTTATTCAATGCATATTTCAGAAATAAGTTTCTGGTCTTTTACTTCATTTTCCTGTATGTTTGGGGGGAACCAAAGTATTTTATTATTATTTTCTTCTTTGACTAGTGCTTCTAGTGTCTTATGAAATCTTTGCCTAACCCAAAGGCACTAATACTTTCTCTCATGTGTCCCTTAGAATTATCATAGTTTTAGTTTTAACATTTAAAACTGGGAACCATATTGAATTAAACTTCACCTTGGTGTCAAATAAGGTTCGAGGTTTTTTGTTTTTGTTTTTTTGCATGTGCAACTTGAGTTGTTCCAACATGATTTGTTGCTGAAATCTTTCCCTTATCATTTTTATTGGAAATCATGTCCAAGCATGTAGGGGCATCTCAGGGCTCTATGCTGTTTCATTGAAGTATCTGACTTTATGTAAGTCAATACCACACTGTTTTTACTAATATTTTTGATGGTAAGGTTTCAAGTTTAACAATGTTAATCATTCGACTTTGTATTTCTTTTTTACATAATTGTTTAGGCTATTTTAGGTGCTTATATTTCCATATGAACTTTAGAGTAAACCTGTCAACCACAAAAACAATTAGATTTTGATTGGAATTACATTAAATATATAAACCCTTGGGAAGAATTAACATTTTAACAATAATAAGTCTTCCTATCCATGAATATTTTATGTCTGCATTTATTTAAATCTTTAATTTTTCTCAGCAGTGGTTTGTACTGTTAAGTATAGGTCTTGTACTTCATTTTTCATATTTATCCCTAAATATCTCAGTGTTTGCTAAATTTTTATTTTTTATCATTTTTAAGAACAAATTTAATTTCTGACATTTTTCACTAGTATATATACAGACACATTAAATTGTTGTGTGTTCGTTTTGAATCCCATAGCCTTCCTGAGCTCATTTATTCTTGTAGCCCTTTTGTAGATTTCATGAGATTTCTTTTTATTTCCAGTGGTATTTTTAAAAAAATTTATTTATTTTAATTAGGCATATACAACAGCAGAATGCTGTTGATTGTACACAGAATGCTGATTCATTGTACATAATTGCAGCACAACTTTTCATTTCTGTTTGTACACGATGTAGCATCACATCATATGTGCAGTCATACATGTACCTATGGTAATAATGTCCATCACATTTCACCATCTTTCCTGCCTCCATAGCCCTCACCTCTTCTTCCTCCCCTTTGCCCAATCAAAGTTCCTCCATTTTTCCTATGCCCTCCCCCATTATGGATCAGCATCCACTTATCAGAGAGAACATTCAGCCTTTGGATTTTGGGGATTGGCTTACTTCACTTAGCATGATATTCTCCAGTTCTGTCTACTTACCTGTAAATGCCATAATTTTATTCTCCACTTTCTTTATCCATTTATCTATTGAAGGGCATCTAGGTTACTTCCGCAGTTTACCTATTGTTAATTTAGCTGCTATAAGCATTGATGTGGTTGCATTACTCTAGTATGCTGATTTTAAGTCCTTTGGGTATAGACCAAGGGATAGCTGGGTCAAATGATGGTTCCATTCCAAGATTTCTAAGGAATTTCCATACTGCTTTCCAGAGTGGGTACACCAATTTGCAGTCCCACTAGCAACATATGAGTGTGTCTTTTCCCTCCACATCCTCAGCAACACTTATTGTTGTTTTTATTCTTGACATAACTGCCATTTTGACTGGGGTATGAAATCTTAGAGTAGTTTTGATTTGCATTTCTCTAATTACTAGAGATGTTGAACATTTTTTCATATATTTGTTGATCAATTTGTATATCTTCTTCTGAGAAGTGTCTGTTCAGCTCCTTGGCCCATTTATTGATTAGGTTGTTTGTTTTTTTTGGTGTTAAGTTTTTTGAGTTCTTTATATATCCTGGAAATTAGTGCTCTATCTGATGTGTATGACAAAAATTTGTTCCCAAAACGTAGGCTCTCTCTTTACCTCATTGATTATTTGTTTTGCTGAGAAGAGGCTTTTTAGTTTGAATTCATCCCATTTATTAATTCTTGATTTTATTTCTTGTGCTTTAGGAGTCTTGTTAAAGAATTTGGTATGTCATCTTGACTCATTAAAACTTTACATTTCCTTTTCCAATCTTTTTTCCTTATTTTTTTTTCTTTTCTTTTTACACTATCTAGAACCTCTTATAAAATATTGAATAGAAGTGATGTTAACAGACATTTTTATCTTTTTACTGAATTTAGAGGGAAAACATTCAGCCTTACATGATTAAGTCTAATATTACTTACAGGCTTTGTATAGATGCCCTTTTCCAGCTTGTTCAATTTTGTTTTTATCTAATTTGCCAAGAGTTTTTTAATCAGGAATGAATTTTATTAAGTTTCACTTGGTATTTTTTGCATCTATTGAAATGATTGTGTAGTTTATTAGTCTGTTAATACAGTGAAATACATTGATTTTTCAAAAGTTAAAACAGAGCTGGACACAGTGGCACACAGCAGTTTGGGAGACTGAGGCAGGAGGATCATGAGTTCAAAGCCAGCCTCAGCAAAAATGAGGCACTAAGCAACTCAGTGAGACCCTGTCTCTAAATGAAATACAAAAAAGGGCTGGGGATGTGGCTCAGTGGTTAATGTCCCTGAGTTCAATCCCCAGTACCAGAACCAAAAAAACCCAAAACAAAACAAAACAAAACCATAAAACCAAAAACAACAGCAATAAAAGTTAAAATAGCTTTTTGCTCCTTGGAATATACCCCTCTTGGTAATGATGCATTTGTTCATGTATTTTCAACTTTTTCAATTTACTGAAACTTTGTCAAGAACATTGCATTTATGTTCATGAAAGATGTTGATTTTTAGTTTTCTTTTTGGTGAGATATATATGTATACACACACACATATACATAATTATATATTTGTGTGTGGGTTTTGTTTTTTGGTTTTTTTTGGCTGTTGTAGTAAAAATGCTGAACTGGCACATGTCCTTTACCGTTTTCTTTACTAAGATATTTGTGTATTAGTTTCTTAAATATTTGATAGATTCATCAGTAAAATCATCTGTGAACAACGTTTTCTTTGGGAATAGCTTTGTAAACTACAAGTTATTTTTTATTGTAAGCAGATATCTAATGGGCTAATTGGGCTATCTGTTATGTTGAAGGACCTTTTTTTTTTGAATATATGAAGTAATTTGTCAATTTCTACTAAATTTTTAAGTGTAAAGACATAGTGATGTATGTAATATTCCCTTGTTACCTTTTAGCATCTTTAAATTAGGAAGTGATGTTCTCCTATACATTCCTATTATTTATAATTTATATGTTCTTTGTCTGCCCTAGTTATTTGTTATTTTCCTTCACCAGTTTAGCTCATGGTTTTTTGGTTAATCTTGTAAAAAAGAAAAATAATTTTTGCTTTCACTGATTTTTCTGTACTGATTTTTTTGTTTCCTAGCTTATAATTTCTTTCCTATTTATGTATTTCCTTCTTTTTGTTACTTTGAATTCATGTTTTTCAAATATAAGCTCTAATGCTATAAATTTCCTGAGAACTATTTTAATTGTAGTTTACACATTTTGATGTTGCTTTTTTATTGAGTTCAAAATACTATCTTATTTTTACTCTGATTTTCTTAGCCCATGACTTAACTAAAAACTGTGTTTTTAAATTTCCACTTAAGATTTCCCTTCCATATTTGCATTATTAATTGACAGTTTAATTTCTTTTGTTAGAGAATGTACTTTGTATAATTTCAGTCTTCCTAAATTTACTAAATCACTTTGTGATATAGATATGGAATATTTCAGTAATCATTTAGTATATACTTGTAAAGAATGTGTAATATACTGTTGGTGATAAAATTTCTTATAAATGTAAATCAGGTCAAATGAGTGATGATGTTTTAAAGTCTTCTTTATCATTACAGATGTCTTGATCACAGTATTCCTTCCTTAGCTGTGGTTTCACTTTCCATTGTTTTGGTTACCCATGATGAACTGTGATCTGAAAGTATTAAAGGAAAATTCCAAAAACATAATTCATCAGTTTCAAATTGTACACTGTGTTAGTAACTTGGTAAAATCTTGTACCTTTATACCATCTAGCTCTGTTCCACTTAAAAATGAATTTTCTTTTTGTCCAATGTATCACACTGTATATGCTACCTACCCATTAGTCCCTTCATATCTGTCTGGGTTATCAACTCATTTGTAACAGTGTCAAAGTACTTGTGTTCATATATCCCTTATTTTACTTAATAATGAGCCCCAAGTGCAAGAGTAATGATGGTGACAATTCACATATGCCAAAGACAAACTATAATGTGCTTCCTTTAAATGAAAAGGTAAAAACTTATCATAGATATATATGTACAGGGGAAAAAATAGAATATATAGGGTTTGGTACCACACACAGTTTCAGACTTCATTGAGGACTTTGAAACATCTCTCCTGTGGATAAGGAGGGACTACTATAATTTTAACAATTATAGCTATGTACTTGAGAGAGGAGATAATGATATCTCTTATGCTATTTGTGTTTGTTTCTTCTTTAAATCCTGTTAGTTTTGCTTCCTGTATTTTCAAGCACTGTTAATTAGGTGCATATGCATTTATGATTGCCTTGAGATCTGTATTTTTTTCCTTTATTATCATGAAATGCTTTTTTAAAATTTCTGATAATATTCCTTGTTCTCAAGTGTATTTGTTTTGTTATTAATTATAGCCATCCAGATTGGCAAACTTGTGTAAATATTTATATAATTTTTATTTTTTCACTTTTTAATCCAAATTTGCTTTTATATTTAAAGTTGGTTTCTTGAGGTAGCATGTAATTGGATTAACTTATCTATCTAATCTGACACTTGCCCTTTTAATTGATGTATAAGATGGACTGTTTCATTTAGTGCAGTTATCTATATTATTACTATATTATTATCTTTAAATCAGTCACCAAATATCTGCCTACCTACTTTTAGACACTTTTAAAACATTTTTTTTCTGTGTTCTATGTATCTCCTGTTTTGTAGACTTGCTTTGTATTCATAGATGGAGGCGCTAGTTCTCCCCTTCCCATGTGAACATATAGATATAGAATAAATAGCCCTCTCAAATTACTTTTCCTCTCTATGTCCTTTATGACAACCTCTTCCTTTTAGGGAAAAATAATGTATAACTTATTATAGATCTTTTCTTCTGAAATGAGTCATTCAGAACTACCACTTGATGATTTTATTTCCCTCCTCTTACTTTTCCCTTTTAGGAATTAGAAATTAAGAAAATGGCAAAGATTGGTAATAAAGAAGCTTGCAGGGTTTTAGCCAAACAGCTTGTACATCTACGGAAACAGAAAACAAGAACTTTTGCTGTAAGTTCAAAGGTCACTTCTATGTCCACACAAACGAAAGTGATGAATTCCCAGATGAAGATGGCTGGAGCAATGTCTACCACAGCAAAGGTCAGTGGGAGGCTTTGTGTCCAAATTCCATCAAAGATATGTAAATATTAATATTCAAATCAGATTTCCAAGCACCTTCTGGTGTGTGTGTGTGTGTGTGTGTGTGTGTGTGTGTGTGTATGGTACAGAATTCTAGGCCTTAGTAATTACTCTGTATTCTTTGTTGGTATGTTTTAATATAAAATAAGGACATTTCCGCTTTCCCAAGATCACATATAGTTTCTAAGTTTATAATAGTTCCTTAAAGCAGTGTTAACTTTTTTCCACAATTGTCAGATCTTGAGGCTGGGGTTGTAGCTCAGTGGTAGAGTTCTTGCCTCCCATGTGTGAGGCACTGGTTTTGATCCTCAGCACCACATAAAAATAAATAAGCAAATAAAGAGATTGTGTCCATCTACAACTTAGAAAAAAATTAAATTGTCATATCATTGGGATTCTCATTTCATTAAGTTATCATTTTTTACTACTTTCTAGTAATAATTTCTTCTTGATTCACTTTTATGAATGTATTAGAAGGATGTATGGATAGTGTCAAAAGGATTTATCAAATAATGTTTTTTCAGGAGTTTTATATTTTAACTATATATAGGTAACATAGCATATATATTAACACACACATATGGCTTTCATTGTAGAGTTTAAAATCTGAGTATATAATCATTTAATAAGTAATGTCCTTGATATGTATCAAACACTGTGAGTAATCAAAAATGGTTTTACAAAAAGACTTTGCTTTTGCAGAGTTTGCAGTTCAGCTTAGGGAAGCATAAGGTATATCTGATAGGAAACTTGCTGCCATACATTAGTCTGTATGAAGCTTTGTTGAACTGCACAGATCTTTGAGTAGGATGGTTCAAAGGACTTTGTAAAATACCTAGTCTTAAAGGAATTATGAGGTGTTAGATGTAGGTAAGGGGGACTATGAATATAAAGAGCCAAAGGGAAAAAATCCAGAGAAAATTATGAGGTGTATATATTATGAAAATGATATGTGTAGTGGAGTCTCTTTATTAACAGTAGTTATAGTCTGTGAATTCGGGAATAATGAAATAGCAAATATTGCACTATTGCTCTTATGGGGAACATTGTGGACAGCTTCATGTGAGGCTTTTGTTCACAACATTTGCATTGACTAATCTATACCCAGCCTTATTTTATGTGTGTTTCTGTTTAAAGATACCATATTTAATATATATTGTCAATTTATTAATACATAGTGACAGTAGCACTATGCCTCATGCATAAATGAAGCTTATCTACCTTGTGTTTTCTCTGTAAGGCACACTGTACCTTCTTTCACTTAGGAACATTAAACAGCACATTAGTACTATGCTTAGGGACTTTTTAAAGTGCAAAATCACCAATAATAAGCAAAAAAAAATGAGAAAAATGTATTACTAAAGAGATTGCCAAAGGTATACTGATTTACAGTATGAAAGCTGAAACAAGAAGGTAGTGCATTGCCTGTTGGGTGACTCAATTTAATTTGTCTCTCTGCCCTTGTCACCATATTAAAGCATTGTAAATATTGATGTGAAGCTACAAATAAATTTTAGCAACTAGAAAAATTTATACATATGTATTCCACGAATAACAAAAATCAATTGTGATTTCTGCTTAGACTACGAAAAACATGCAAATAGAATGCATCTATTTTATGAGGTATAAAAAGTGTAGTAACGCATTCTGTAAAAAATAGAGAAAGTTTCAGCATAAGTTTTGTTTCTCAGTTAACTTACTCTTGATGGATTTTAGTCATTTTACAATCAAAAGTTTGTAGTTAAGGGCAAAACTTCAGAACTTTTGTTTCTTTTTGGCCTTACAGATTGACAGTTAATATCCGTTTGATTTTGGGGAAAGATCATTTTGGAGATCACTTAGGTAGGCAGTAGTGTTAGGGGGGAACAATTACTCATTTTTTAATTTTCTGTAACTAATAGACTAGGAAAACATATTTAATATAGTTTTCCCATGTAGAGATGTCTCAGTTGGAATTCTCACTTAAATATCTTAGAAATGTGTTAACTTACCAAATATTGTTTAGGTTCTCTATGTGGCCACTACACTAGATAGTGGGCATGAAATGGAAAGTAAAACCTGGCAAGGGCTTAACCTTCATAGAGCTTAATGTCTATATAAGCGGTAGCACATTTAAGAGGTAGTAGGAAAGCTCTGCTTAGTTCAAATCTCATTTCACTTAGCTACTGTGTGATCTTGGGGATATTATTTAGCTTTTATGTGCCTTGATTCTCTGTAACGTAGCAAAAATATCATTTAACTTTAATATTATTATATGTAAAATGCTTAGAACAGTGTCTGGCTTACTTATGCAGGCATTAGCTATTCTATCACCATCCTCCTCATTAATGTTATTAGCATTGTTTACCACAATAATGTAAGTTGCAATTAAAGTAATATAATTTAAACCAACAAATGTAAAATTTTGTCTGTAGTGCTGGGTTTTAACAAGAGTGTTCTAATCTTGGGTGTCAGTGGCTGTTTCCTTATGAAAGTAGCTTCTAACTGCAGTGTGAAGTGTTGATTGTGAAGCAGGTGGAGAGGAACACTACAGGTGAGGGAAAAGTAAAGGTCTTGTGGCAGGAGAGAGCATAGTAGTTAAGGAAATAAAAGATCAGCGTATGCCTGTAAGACAATGGTAGCAAATCAGACCTCTTGTTAAATAGATTGCAGCTGATGATGGGTCTCTTTGGTAAGTTATGGAATTTGACTTTTAACACTAAGAGCAATGAAAAGGTTTTGGAGAGTTAGGTATAGGAGGCAGTGGGGGACTGGAGGAGTCGAGTGCAGTGGCATATTGATGAAAGATTACATTGGCACAGCATGAGTAGAGATTGTGTGAGAAAAGACTGTTTTTTTCTTTATATATTTGATACCAGTATATTGTCAGTGTATAATAACCTTTTAATATACCAGATTAACAATGAATAAAATACATATATATTCATGCATATATAGTACATCATATATGTAAATTGTGACTACGCGATAATAGTAATCTCTCTCTCTCTCTTTTTTTGGTACCTGGGATTGAATCCTGAACCCATAGGGGCTTAACCACTAAGCCACATCCCCGGTCATTTTTATATTTTATTTAGAGACAGGGTCTTGCTGAGTGCTTACCTCTCAATCTCCCTGCCTTAGCCTCCCAAGCCACTGGGATTACAGACCTGCACCGCCATGCCCGACAATAACCTCTTTTAATGAAATGTATATACTTGTATATACATTAATGTTATTAAGTATATACAAGAATTTTTTTACATATTTTTGCAAAACAATTTTTCATAATTTTTTATGGTTTAAAGTGTATTAATAGCCTGAGTAGCTATGCTAGTATAACCTCTAATCCTTTTACACATTGAAAATTTTAAGAAAAATTATAATTAAACTTCAAAATTCTTTTAAATTTAAATATGACCTACTTGCCACATGTTTTTCACTGCTGTGACTAAAGGATCTAACCAGAACAACTTTAGAGGAGAAAAAGTTTATTTGGGGGCTCCCAGTTTAAGAGGTCTTAGCCCATAGAAAGCTGGCTCCATTCCTCTGGGCTTGAGGTGAGGCTGAACATCATGGTGGGAGAGGGTGGCAGAGGGAAGCAGCTCATGTCATGGTTATCAGGAAGCAGAAAAAGTGAGTCTCCATTCTCCAGATACAAAATATATATGCCATAGCCACCCCCCAATTCCCATCTTTCCAGTGATACCCTACCCCTTCAGTTACCACTCAGTTAATCCCTACCAAGGGATTAATTCATTGATTGGGTTAAGACTCTCACAACCCAATCACTTTTTCTCTGAAGCTTCTTGCATTGTCTCACATGTGAGCTTTTGTGGCTGAGGACACCACATCTAAACCACAACACCATGTAACAGGTCAATTTAGTTTTCCCTTTAGAATAGAAATAAGTTTTATATTGATAATTTTTTTGCTATATAATTTTTGCCTGCTATTCAGATGAAGTAGTTTGCACTGGTCTTTATTATGTAGATGTTAAACATGTGGTTTTTAAATGACTATTCCGTTTTTTTCTAGAATAGTTAACACTGTGTTTTAGAATGTCAGAGTATGTATTTTTTAAAAGCCTATGTATATGTGATTGTGTGATGTGCTTTCCCTAGATTTATTTCATGGTAAAAATTTTCTGTTTTGGTACTGTGGATTAAAACTAGAGGTGCTGGGCTGGGGATGTGACTCAAGCGGTAGCGCGCTCGCCTGGCATGCGTGCGGCCCGGGTTCGATCCTCAGCACTACGTACAAAGATGTTGTGTCCGCCGAAAACTAAAAAATAAATATTAAAAAATTCTCTCTCTCTCTCTCTCTCTTAAAAAACAAAACAAAACAAAACAAAAAACTAGAGGTGCTTTACCACTGAGCTACAACCCCAACTGTTTTTTGTTGTTGTTGTTGTTGTTTTTGAGACAGGGTCTCACCAAATTGCTTAGGGCCTCACTTCACTAAGTTGCTGAGGCTGGCCTTGAGCTTGTGATCCTCCAGCCTCAGCCTTCCAAGTCACTGGGATTACGGACATGTACCACAGTGGCCTGGCACTCCATGGTAAAAGTTTCATAATTGTGTAGCTAACATTAATCTTTTTATATATTTACAGACAATGCAGGCAGTTAACAAGAAAATGGATCCACAAAAGACATTACAAACAATGCAGAATTTCCAGAAGGAAAACATGAAAATGGAAATGACTGAAGAAATGAGTAAGTTTCAGGAAGTTATGATGAAATGTACAATTTTCCCATCTTTGAATTAGCCCGGTGCATTTGCTAGCAGTCTCATATTCTCATACATGAAGGCACAAATGAGGAAACAAGGAATGATAGAGCAACTATATAAATGTTTATTTTCATAACTTCAATATACATTTATATTGGCAGTGTTCAAGGCACAAAACTCTTACTGTATAACTGAGGGATAAATATAAGATGTCAAACCATATTTCTATTATATATTGGCTTTAACAGTCTTACTTTATTGATTATCATACCCAAAAAATTGTGAATAAAATAAGTGTTGGGTAAGTTAGGTAGTTTCAGAATTATATAAATTCTGTCATACCATAAAAGAGATATATGTATTATAGGTAGAATTAATGGAACCGTTTTTTTTTTTTTCTTTTCTTTCACAGAATGTCATTTATATTTAGTTTTCTTCTTTGTAAGTATATATGTGTGTATATATGTGTTTTTTTTATCTTCTTAAGAGTATTGACTAAGCTTTATGAGGCATTTGGTTTATAGTACCAAATTCTTCACAGAAAGACCACACCAATTTTATTTTGTCAAAAATGGATGAGTAACTCCTTACAACTCCCTGGTCAATATTGAATCATTACTCATATGTCAAAAATGTGCACCACTGTTTTGGAAAAATACTTCTTGGTGATTTTACAACTATGTAGGGATATGCTGATTTGGCTCTGCATATCTGCCAGCATTTTAGTTCGACAGCATTTGATGTATGAAATGAAATATGAAAACCCTAGCAATTTAAATAGATACTGTTTTATACAGTATCTATTTAAATTGCTAGGGTTTTCATATTCACTGTTGCTGTAGGATTTTTTTTTTCAGAGCATCAAATTTTTTCCAAGGGTATAATGATACTGTATGTGTATCTTTGATAGGTCCAGACCTTTTTTTATTTTGTACTTCATGCCTTTACTTTGAAAATGTAGTTTTTTTTTTTTTTTTCGAGGCTCTTGAAACATTTTAGTAATTGTCTAATGACTGAGAGAATTATCATTTATATAATGATCATAGTATCTAACAAATTTGCATGTGATTTCCGGTGATGACACAGGTGTGAGCAAATCTTAGAGGAATTAACTTTTCCATTAAGCTATAATGAAAAGAATCAAGCCCTTATTTATCTATCATATCTATCACAGTTGTTTCCATTAGTATTTTAGTACTTTGAAAATCAGTACAAAGTAAAGCAGTAATTTATGGTTGTTTTTTCAATAGATTAGTAAATAAAGTACATTAACAAAATTTTCACCAAAGATACATTGAAAATGGAAATGAATATGTCTTTTTTGAATGAGAATTTATTGCTATGTTGTTCCAAAAGTTGTCCACATTCAAGTTTTAGAAACAAGGTCTTTGGGAAATCTTCATTATGTCTTTGATTAGTTTTGTCATGCCTTTTCTGAAAGGATTCTTCTCTGTTAATCCCTGGTTATACTTCTGTGTTTGTTCTCATCTATCCCTTTTTTCATTATTTCTCAAACATTTCTTTATTCAGGCCCTTAAAAACTCAGACCTGGGCTTCCCATTCCCTATTACTTCCCACCATCTAGGTAGCACAGAAGTTTACCTCTAGGGTATGCTTGACAGATTCTTTCAATGACTTCCTATTTATCACAAAGTAACACCCTCAAAATAATAAATCATAAATCAAAACCAATTTTCCAGTGAAGTTCTTTTATTTTGCCAGTGACAATATTGAACTCCAGAGAAGTAAAATACCTTTTTCCCAAAAGTTGAATGGATACTGAAAGGAACAACTGGTACTAATTCATGTCTTAAAAATGTTCACTCTGTTTCTTCAGAGATGATAGTCTATGATTTTTTTTCTTATCCATTAGCTTTTGAGCCTTATCCAATTTTATACTGTTGAATTAACACACAAAAAAAATCAGCTTTTCAAATCATGTTCATACAGACCAGAAATCATAACCAGTATCAAGCTTTATTATTGATGTCAAGGATATAAGCAGCTGAGAGTAATACAGGCCAAGCAGGGAGAAGATTTGGAATCACAAATGATTCTCTGTATCTATTTTTCCTATTGCCGCAGTCTGGCTGGGCACAATCAGGAGCCACTTGTCAAAAGAAACTAACTTTATTTTTAGAACCACACACGCCAAACAAAACAGCCTCTCAGGAAAAACCCTCAGAGCCTCAACTGCCACCACCGGCTTTCCACAAGCCTCTCTCTCCCACACAAGCTTCTCCCCACCTCCCACAATCCTCCTGCTCTTGAGGCCGATTGGCTGGGTCACGTGGGCGGAGCCAAAAAAGTCCCCCAATGAGCAGCTCCGTGGTCTGAAAGGGCAGGGAAACAGTCCAATGAGCATCACCGCAGAGGAGCCAATCAGCTAGATGTTGCTGGGGCCGCTGTGAGCCAATCATCAGCCGGCAGCTGGAAGTTTGCTGGCAGCTGGAAGTTTGCTGGGGCCCCTTCGGCTGTGGCTCTCAACATCCTATCTCAGACACAAGATCTCTGATCAGTAATCATATAGAATAATAGATAATGCAGCAGATAAAATTGCTTATCATCCTGTGTTGAAGAGGAGCATTTAGATTATGAAATAACTCCAACATGTTAATTCCGCAGATGTTTAATGGTCATATGGCATTTTCCAGGATCCATGGATCATAAGCCCACAGGTTGTAGGTTTGTCGCTATTACTATCCTAGAGGACATTCTGCTATGAGCATTGTTTCAGTAGAAGAGGATTGTTTCAGTAGCAGATATTTTGTCTTTTCCCAAGAGCCACTTATCAAGGTGGTTTCAAGAAGATCAGCCTACACTACCTGTCTTTCCTCTGAGGTACTATTAGAGGCCCACCACTTTAATATTTTTCATCTTGCCCTTTTCTATTCATGTACCTTGATCCCAATCAAACTGAAAAATTTACTCTTCTTTGTATGTGTTCTGACTGCTTCACATGTCTGCATCTCTTTTTGGTCAAACCTTAGGCATGCTTCTAAGATTGTCATTCACGTATTCCTTTTAGCTGAATGTATATAGTTTCCCTCTGAAACTATATAAGCATCTATTTCTCCATGTACTATAATGTATTTTGTTTCCTACTCAAGAATAAACTACCTAAGATCTTTATTTTTCTCCAGTTTTCCATTGTATTTGTACTACATGCCAGTGTCAAAGATAAATGAGACATAATCCCAGGACTTTAAACATTCCTTCCCCTCACCTCAGCATGCTGCCCTCTATGTAGAAGGCTTTTGATAAATATTTTAGGCAGGGAAGGGAAAAAAAATCAAGGATTACAGCAGTAATAATTTTGAAATGTTAAATTGGACATTATTCTTTGGACAAATTCAGTAAACTATTGAACCTTTGACCCTATTAGAATATTCTGCCTATGTATTGAGAGTATACTTAAAAATAGAAAAATATGATATAGGTATAAAAAGAGTAAATTGTCACCCACATACTAACAGGTTATTTGATTCTTGTATATTTTTTCCTGGTTAGGTTTAACAGCTAGCAGCTCACAATTTGTGGATCATATTTAAAGACCTGAAGCCTTGTGAATATCACTGGGTTTTGTTTAAAGATATAATTGTTTTTATTAATTTTTTTTTTCTTTTTTTCCATGCTAGGGCCTTCATGTATTAGGCAAGCAATCTACCACTATGATATGTCACCAGCCCTAAAGATATGATTTTTTAGAAAATCAGAGTAGAACTATTTCATTATAGGATAATTTTTCTAGATATGAACATTATTCTAAATTTAGTGGTTTAGAAATGTGTTAATCAGTATACTTCACTGACATTTCAAAATGACTTTTGTCTTTCATTGGTTGACCTAAATTTGCCTTCTGTAATGTAAAAAATATGTACACATAGTTGGACTATCTTCTAAAAATGTGAAACTGATCTGAAATCTGTTTGAAAGTAACAGCTTTGTTTTATTCCCCCTCCCTCCACCAAGTCAACGACACACTTGATGACATCTTTGATGGCTCTGATGATGAAGAAGAAAGCCAGGATATTGTGAATCAAGTTCTTGATGAAATTGGAATTGAAATCTCTGGAAAGGTATGAACATCTTCTTTTCTTAGATGAAAATAGTTTTGGCCACTTTTATTCATTGTTTTAGGTTGTCCATTAGTGTTAACATGTTTTTATATTTGCTTCAAAAGTAAATTACTTTGCAGCTTATCCTTCTGTTCTTACCCAAGAGTTTGCAAATGAACATTTTTTTTTCTCTTTTTGTTTCTTTATTATAGATGGCCAAAGCTCCGTCAGCTGCCCGAAGTTTACCATCTGCCTCTACTTCAAAGGCTACAATCTCCGATGAAGAGATTGAACGACAACTCAAAGCCTTAGGAGTAGATTAATCAAAAAGTCATGATATTTTTGTGTACTGATTTAGTATAAAGCAAGCACAGTGCAGATTCCTTTTACAAAAACACATTTATTTTGCAAAAATGAAAACCATGAGTGAACAGTTGTTTCCTAACCCATGGCCATTTTGAGTCTTGCCAAAGAATAACAATGATGCAAAAATGGAAACAGTTTGAATTTTAATTAGAACTATTTAGGAGTGATGATGTGTAAAACTGGATTTCTTTTCTGCATGGCATAGAGAAATTATAACTATTACTTAGTGTCTGTTTATGTTCTAAATCTTTTTACACTGAATACAAAATTCTTGTTAAATGCCACTAGGCACCAACTTAAGGAAAGAGACTTGTAAAAATATTAAAAGTATGTCGTTAATTCTGTATCTGTTGCTTGTCCTTTGTAAATGATTATGTGTTATGACCATAGGCAGTTCATCTGCCAAATTATTTTTAAATGATCAAAAAGAACAGTGCTGTTTCAACATCTGTCTTAAAACTGCCATGAGGTTTTCTTTCCTTTTTTTTTTTTTTTTCCTTTGGGAGAACATTCTAGTTGGTAAGTTTATTACCTTTCAAAATGTGCTTGGGACCTGCCTTAAACAGCACAAACATATTGTGCTCATCTTTAAATTATTTTACCTGGCAGAAAAGAATTTCATTTTAAACTAAAAATTGAGGCCTCTTGTAACAGTTTTGCAGGCTCTCTTCTAAACCTTATGAAAGTGAACTAAATATAATAGAAACAAAGACACTGAATTCATAATGCTTCATAGTAATCCATAGTATATTTTTGTCTTTCTTCCAAGAACTGAGATTTTCTCCATGTAACTTAATTTCTGTTTAATTTAAATTGAATTAATGTATATTCTAATGTATACTCTAAATTGAAGGCATTATTCTTAATGAAGTACAACTATACAACTACTATGACAATACTTGACCTAAACTTTTAAAATAAAATCTTAACTTTTTTTGGGTGGGTTGGTGGTAAATAAACAACTTTGTCAGAAATGATTGCCTATATGTGTATTACTATGTTAGCATTCTCTGAGGTGTAATTGCTATGGTATTTTATGTATACAGAGAATAAGAGAACAATAGTTAGAATTTTTAATTTGGTTAGTTTTGAAAATAATGTTACAATATATGGATTCTGACACATCCAACCACAAAAACTCTGGAGTTGTTTATGTATAACTTGGTGGATTTGGGGTGGTGGACATTTGGCCTGATGTTGGCAAAGTCACATTTTAGGACTAGTATACATGTACTGTGTGGATTGTGGAAGGAACAGAAAACTAAGCCATCTAAGTTTAGAATCCATCAATTATACTGTGTTTACTAAGAACATATTCACAATTTCCCTGAAGAGAGATGAGTCAAAACAATTTACTGGATTATGGAATGTTGACCCAGAACATGTTTTGGTTCTTGAATGTACATAATAATGCCATTTAACTTTAATTTCTTGTTTACATGTGGGGGCTTTTGGTTTTTTTAAACTATTTTGTTAAAAAAAACTGAATAAAGATTTATTACTGTTATCCTTTTTTAAAAAAAAACTCTCTTTTACTCTGTTTTTGGCTTCTGCTAAAATTAGAATTCTTATGATGTTTGGTAATTTTCAAAAGAGTGCTTTTTATTATTTTCTTGGAAGGAAAGTGGAAAACTCTGCTACATAACATTTTCACAACAAAACAAATTGTCTTTTTAAGAATTAGCATTTGGTACAGGATTGATGTTTGTGAATGGAGTAAGCCTAAGAAGTGGTGGTTTCATGTTAAATTATTCTGATAATCTCTTACTGGAGTTTCCAAGGACTAAATTTTAAGTTTTATATTTAAGCTCATAATTCTTGCGATTGCTTTCATTTCTGTTAAATGTGGATACCACAGAATTTTGGACTCAAAACAGAGTATACTCCATTCTGACTTGGCTACATATATAAAATGCTTTGGGTGGCATATTTATGATCACAATAAATTTGTAATGTTACTCTATCTTTTACGAAATATTGAAAGTTCCTTTTGGACCTTTGAGGAGCAAGATATTTTATAGATTGAGCTTAATGAATGTTGATTATTTATTTATTTTTTAAACCCTGTTCTCTGTAACTTGGTAATAGGATTTTTTTTTTTTTTTAAACATTTATATTCAAGCTGCAAGGGGTTGCCAATAGAGAGGGCAGAATAATAACAGCAAAATCTCTGGTACCAAATGGGAAGCAGTGCAATGTCACATTTTGTTACCAGATGTAAATGTCATGGATGGAGGAGATTTGAGAGTACCAGAGAACTGGAATGTGGGGGTATGAAAATGTCAGTACACGTGATGATAACACCTGGTATTAGGAAACAAAATGACCATCTGTCAGGATGATTGTGTTACACAGACTGTACTTTATACTCTTAAGATGAGTGCCTGGTTATGGCAGGAGCTAGTGGAAAGGGCCTCAGGATTTTGACACTATAGAACAGGAGTAGGAAGCCAGCTTTGTGTTATTTGACCCACACTGTGATTTTATATTTTGTTACTCCCATTTGAATGCCAATAGGAGCCTGTACTCCCCCTTTGGCCAAAAGTACATTCCCTACATCCACTTGTCCCACTTCTAGCCTGATGCTTGTGGACCTAATTTAAATATATTCCACTATTTTAGATACTTCTATGTCAAAACAAGATTTGTCCCAGTATGAAAAGGAGTGACTTTCTTCTTTGATGCCGCTACTCTGCACAAAAATGTTTCTCAGCTGCAGAAAAAGATCAGCCTTCTTATATCTTCTCTATCAGCCATTCTTCTAACCCTAGTTCCTTGAGTCAATTGAATTGAGTTCCTGTCATGTATAACTAAAAACAACAAATAAAATTTTTTTAAAAAAGCAAACCTAAGTATTGTGAAATCTGATTTCAGACACCCCAAAATACCTTCCACGGTCCCTCAAGAACTTGAAATGCACACACCTTCCCATCCCCCAATGCTAAAAACATTTCTTTGATAAATCCTTTCCAAAAAATGGAAAGTTACATGAATCAGTTTGTCAACAATCTCTAAGTAAAGCTTAATGTATCAGCGTAATTAACAGACCTTTCTAGTTTAATGGATGAATGCACTGAATTCCTAAAGACATACCAAGTATTCCTTCAAGATAATTGCTTTTTTTTTTTTTTTTTGCGGGGGAGTGGTAAAAATTAGTTCACAGTGCTGGTTTTACCTTAATTTGAAAAGTCTGATCTTATGGATGAATTTATGATTAGAAAGTGGGTGTGGGTGGATGTGTATAAAATCTTGTTTATATTATATAAAGTAAGTCATGTTAAATATTACCAGCAGATCTATAATTAAAATGCAAAAACATTGATCTAATTTCATATTGCATTATGTTTCTATTTTAAGTTTTCAAAATACATATATGTAATTTTGCATAATATGTGTTCATATATACATATGATGATTCTTTTGAAAACTATAAAATCTCTTCCTCTATGTGGTTTTTACATAGGTGACAAATACTGAGTTACCTACAAAGAAAATACCTTTAGGGCTGAATAATTTGGAATTTACTCTTGAATAAAAGCATAAAATCTAACACTTATTAGGTGCTAAATGTGTGTTTCAGCTTGGTTGGATCATAAGTTACCAGCAGATGTATAATTAAAATGCAAAAACTTCTTGGTAACATATCTATGTTTATTAGTAAGATTAAGGTTGTGGATTATTTGTGCATATACATATATGAGCTATAAAAGGATCTTATTCTAAGTGATTAATAATATAAAAATAGGAGGGGAGGCTGTACAGAATAATTTATTAAGTAAGCATTCTATGTCAACAATTTCCAGATTGTTATATAAAATAAGTTAGGTAACATTGCCAGCAGACATTCAAAATGCCCCAAAAATGGACTATTCTAGATTTATATTATATTACAGTTTGCTTCTACTTGCAAGTTCAAATAAGTTAATTTTTAAAAGTTAAATAAATGTCTTCTTTGAGATACAATTACTGAAATTGAAAAGCCAAATATCAAACTTTGTTATTAATAATAAATCAGATTCTAACCAATTGACTGTCTTTTTTATAGGAACCCTGATAATGTTCAGGATTGTGAGATCTCAAAAATAGATTTAGTTTTTAAATTAGACAGCACCCTTCATGTTTGTAGCCATTGTTAACAGTACATCCCTTTATTAACAAAAATTACATGCTATTATGAGCAAACACCTTCCAAGCACTGGAGAAATAACAGCAAACAAGCCAGATACCTTCACTGCCCTGTTGCAGCTTACAGACTAATGGTTTGGGGCTCAATTATATATAGCTTAAAAATGTACACACACACACACAGAAAAAAAAAATTGGCAGTGCTGGGGATCAAACCCAGAACCTGTTATGCTAGGCAAGTGTTCTACCACTGAGCAACACTCCTAGCCCATGTATTTTCTGTAGCTGAACATCAAAAAGCCAATGTTTGGGGAAAATCAAAAGGTTTTACATAGTGTTTCTATACATCTCTTTTGAAGGATTTATGTGGGTTCTATGCCATAAATATTAGATTCAAAGGCATCAGTTCTGATTGAATTTATTCCTACATGGAGTAATAAAATTCTAAGACATCTCTGCTGATCAGCAGAACCAATTCATTAATCAATGTTAATGAATCTTCTAAATGGCTCTTCCCTGATCATATTCCTTACATATATTACCAATTAAAAATTACAAAGCTAATAACCTGGCTTAATAAAAGTTTCAAACTAAAACAAACAAAAAAACATACAAACTGATGTCTATGTGTGTGTGCAGTCTTATTTTTTTCTATTAGTATCTTTTGTTTACAATGTACATTGTAGCTTCTGAGAATAATTATTTTAAAGAAAATAATATAATTTAAATTGTTGAATTCATTTAAAAAAACAGAACTGCATAAGTTATTGATATAAAATAAATTTGAAGTCAACCACGTACCTAATTTCTATTTTTGTTGGGAAAGAGAACAAAATGAAAAACAGTAAGGAAAATATGGCTGTCACACAATAGGAACTCTTATCTGCACTCAAGATGCTCCTTAGAAACAGAAAATAGACTTTGATTCAGACTTGTCTTTACTCTCTTTTCTCTCTGCCTTCGGTTGCAAAACCAAACTCTTACTACTTCTTTCTCAAGATTCAGTTCTTCAGCCATCCGCATGATCTCCTGAGAGGAAGGCTTATTCTGTTCTCCAAAGTGTCTCTCCAGAGCATCTTTAGCAGCAATACTGGGACGGAGCAGTAGGGATGAGAGTGAGATTATGTTGATTTTAGTGAATTTTTTGGAAGAACAAAATCAAGTTGAATTGCTTACATATTGATATGAAAAAAGAACTCTAAGGTTAAACACTTGTAAATACAAAATACATTTTGTTAACATTTAGTTGTTTATTGTATTCCAGAGAGCATTACTGATGCCTCAGGAAAAAAATGAGGGTCCCAGCTTTTCTATGTTTGTTCCATTTATTGCCACAGGAGGGCACCAAAATCTTGAAAAAGGAAATGAACAATAGGCATTTGTAAATATCCCCCTCCTTCTCCAAATTGTTCGGGTTATTTTTAATAAACAAAATATCTTGTGAACAACTAACCAATGGAAGCAAAACCTGCCTTCTATCATTTTCTATATGTATGCCCCACATAAATTACAAAAAACAAAAAAAACTTTTGGGGTTGAAATGCAAGATGTCATATTCAATGTTAAAGACCGAAATACTAGACTGAAATACACTGAAATGGCTAGTTTTGTTATTTTTAGTCAGATAGAAACTGTCCTATCAGAGCAAGTACATTTTCTACAAAAGTTCTCTTAGAACTTTCTTAGAAGTGACTATTTGGTTTTTGTTTTTATCCAAAATTTCTGAAACTAAAATGTTTTTTAATCAAACAATATATATTTTTCATGAACTGTTAAAAATTACCAGCTCTCTATCGCTCACTATTAAGTTTTTAAATTGTTTTATAATCTTTTTTTCTTCAATTTTATTTATTTTATATGTATGTTATGTTGTGCCTACATTATATTAAAATGATGATTCCATTTGTAAAATATCTTTTTTTCCCTATAATAATATTGCAAAGGAATACCTTATAGTTGTTCTCCGTTTCCTTTTCCTTTCATTTGCTCCCACTTTTTCATTGTACAAAGCTATAATGTGGAAAAGAGAGATAATTACAAAAAGTCAATTTAAAAGAAAATAACTATCATATTTGGATTTCTTATTTTCTTCATGAAGCAATGAAAAATAAAATTACTTTTCATTTTTGTCTTCAATTTTTGCAGTCTTTGCCATTTTATTTTACATTCCATTTTTTTTTAAAAGTTGAAACAAATAGTAACTTTGCAAATATAATTTTTTTGCAAATCATATCCCCACCTTACTTTTGTTCAAACATTACTATAAGTATATTCAAATCTTGCTCTATATCCAGCATTGACATTAGTACGTGTAAAAAATGTTAAATTACTCATTGAGAAATTCCTTATGTTATTTATTTGGAAGACTGGTGTGTACAAATGCTCTGCATATACCAATTTTAGGTTGTAAAGGTATTCATGTACTGTTAAGTCAGTGGAGCACAGAGGTAAAACATCTGGGTGTGTTCAGATATTTTACCACTTCGTTCTGATGTCACATTATCTAAAAGTTTTCCTTATATAGCTTATTCTGTCTTCAATAAATTGACTTCTATACTTTCTTTGCACTGTTCTTCCCCCTCTTCTTTCCTTCTTTCCCTCCTTCCTTCCTTTACTCCTCCCTTCCTTCCTGTCTCTTTTTGTGATGTAACAAGATGTTTACTTTTCATCTCAAAGAGAAAAGGGGAGAAAAACCTCAAGCCTCTTGCTTTAGCATTAATCCTCCCACTTGCAGTAAATACTTTAGATTAAAACTCAGCACAGTCTTCAGGGATTTAGCTTTAGTACCTCCTACTTGCTCAGCTTCCTCCAGCCATTTTGATAATATTGCTTTTAGTTTGCATGCATTTTTAAAACTGAGTTGTAGGTTTTCAAATCTGCAGATGGTTGTCTGACTGAATTCAGAGCCATGCACAGCTGCCAGGGCTTCCCCAACGTTTGTTTGGGTGTATCCTGTGAAAGGGCAATAAAGATCATTAGCTTCAGCTTTTTAAAAAGCATCAGTTTTGGTTCATTATCACAAATATTTGTGCATCTTTCTTTGCCAACTATTACTTTTTAAAAATAATTAAATAATTATAAGAAAAATATTCTTATCTTTTATCATGATTATTAAATATCTGATGATATATGATAAAAAACATTAATATATCAAGTATAATGCATAAAATATGTTATAGATATTTTAACTCCAAACATGAGTGAAATATTAAACTATATTGTTGAAAAGTACCAAATAAAACTAAGAAATATGTATACTTTCCCTAAAAATATGTCTATAATGAGGTTATGATCATACATTGTATGCATACATCCAAGCACATTTATTATATTGTTTGGTAATGCTTCTGTCTCCAAGCAAAAGATCCTTATTGACTGTCCCAAACATTTCTGGAATACAAGCTAAAATAAACCATCAACATGTAATTTGAAACATTCACAGCAATACAAACAGAAGACTGAAAATGAATGTCATAAAGATTTCTACTGTTGTGTTTATTACATTAGTAACTACATATTATTTTCAGGGCCTAAAGCTATATACCTATACCTATAAAGTGACTACATATGATGCCATCAATAAGTATCATTATAAAATTCTCTGATTCATTTCACAAGTTCAGCGGTTCAAACTGTCATTTCATTCTACTTTTTAAAGTAAACTACTTCATGAATTTTAATGACAATTAATTGTTATAGCTGTTATGTTAAAAACACTTTTC